ATCACAAGTTTGTTTATGCATTGTAAAGGATATTTTTTGAGTACATTCGTAATTTATGCCCTAATTTGCAGTGAATTGAACAAGATTAAGTATGTTGGCTTGTGTTGTATATATGTGGATGTGACATTTCATCGATGAATAAACACTTTAAATTAATGAGACTAATTTCGAGTTGTTATCGTTCGCCATTCCCTCCAGCACTGTTTGCTCTTTCGGTGGCCAGTTGACCATTTTTGTCTACTGAATTGATACTGGAACGATTGCTAAAATACTCAGTTTTATTTCTATGTACCAAATTCCTCTGAAGATGAGTTCAAGCTTTCCAATTACATCCTCTCAACGATGGTGTTCAGCCTCTAAGCGATTAGGCATATAGTATTGTCCTGATGAAAAATTCAATCCATACAGTGTAATTTTCAGTGTGAGTGAATGTGGATCTCGGAATTTTGCGAGCAATATTTAGTTCGTGCTCTAGTGAAATAAATGAAGAAAATGAGATATGGGTGGCGAGCAATTTATGTGATGGAATTGCTCGTATTGGTTTCGATATGTGGTGTGTGCGCGATGACTAATGGTCAAAGAGCTCCAAGAGCGTCGACACGTTTTGGTGATGTGGAAGGATTCACGTATCGTCTGGAGAATGGTGATAGTGCGAATATTTTTCTCGGTATTCCGTATGCGTCTCCACCAGTTCGCATTCTACGTTTTGAGGTCATTTCATTCGTATTCCTTAATAGTATTGTGTAGTTGCAGTGAACTGTTTGACTAAACTTGTCATTTAAAGAGTTCTAGTGATTGAAAGAATCATATTCAGGCAATTGCTTCACAGCTCATATCCAGTGAGCAGCATTCTAAGATTGCATGATATTCTAATCGAACACTGAGTTGTCCCAAGCATTCGTTACATGAATTGTTCGAAAAGTGCAAGTTCTTCCGAGTGAAGATCCTTAAATGATGAATTTAATGATCCCGAAAACCTGAATGGATGATAACCGAACGTAAACAAACATTTCCGTAAATTTTAAGTTAATGACAGTTCGCCGAATAGGAGAGAACGAGAGTGTGCAATAGAATGAGAGTTTGACAGTTGATTGAAATGAAAAGTCAAGAGTGAGAGTTTGACAACAATAGAATGCCATCAATGGTTTTCGACATAAGAGTGATTATAACATATCTAAAAAGAATGAAAATACTGTCACATGAACGTGAATTCATTGATACATGGAGAAATGGCCACAAATAAACATGTTTGATGCTAAACTCAACTTGTAATTAGGCCTCGACCCTTCATGAAAATCCATTAAGTTTATAACGTTTCATCATAATCTAATAAGGCATGTCATAAGGTATCTGAATTTAGAACATTGATGCTTATTTATTTATCGACTTATTTGCGAACGATTAGAAAGTATTCCTCAATATCAATAGTCTAATAACATAAAATTTCCTTAATATCTGCTGAAACTGCAGTGTTTCAGCGTCCAGTTCCAGTAAGGCCATGGACAGGGATCAAGAAAACGATCGACTATGGAGCATCATGTTATCCGTATCATAGAGATGCCATGGTACCAAACCTAGAATATGACGAAGATTGTCTCTATATGAACGTGTTTGCGCCTAGTAGAAAGGTTAGATCATGGCCATACATCCATCTGACAGCTAGGTTTCTTTATCCATTCAAGAAACTCTTTCATAATCATAACTGATCTTATTACGTATGAATACTGTTCACCAAAGATACGTAGCACACGTGCGATACTCAACTATTCAATACATTAAGTCAGTGAGTTCATGCATACCGATTACGTAATCAATTTTAGAGCTGATGAAATTCGAATTTAAATTCAAAATTCAATGCACGAGTATTTGATTCATCAAGCTGATTATTATCTCGTATTTTGTTTTATATTATTTGATGAGAACTTCATTATCATACATTATGACATAGAGGAATATGTACATAAGTGGTGTACAAGCGATATATTAGCACTATAATGTATGCGAGGATCACTACTAATGAATGACAATTGATTTCTTGTAGAGCGATTCCTTATGGGGTTATCCGGTTGTTGTGATCGTGCACGGTGGTGGTTTCAAATACTTCTCGTCTTCATTGCTGCCACACGATACACTCTGCAATAATTTCGTTAAAGAAGGCATTATCGTAGTGACATTCAACTATCGTGTTGGCTTCCTGGGTTCGTGTTTCCTTTAATCTGTTCAATCGAAAATTACAACAACCCATCAAGAGCGAAAAATATGTCTCTGTAGATCACCAACTATCTATTTCAAATTAACCTCAGGTTTTCTAAGTACCGGTGAAGGGCCGTTACCGGGTAATCTTGGTCTCTGGGACCAAACTGAAGCACTTGTCTTCGTCAGCGAGAATATCCCGGCCTTTGGAGGTGACCCAAGGAGAGTGACGCTTCTTGGACAAGGCGCTGGTGCGGCAAGTATTTCAGCACTTTCAATTTCACCCAAATCGAACGGTATGCCCACTTTACGATCAAATATGGAAAGTTGAATTGCGATCCATAATCATAGTGGTCATATCGTCCCAGATCTCATAATAATTCTGAGGATAAGCTAAAAACTAAGCAATATTACTCATTGCTCATCGGGATCATACATGCTCAAGCAAAACATTCTCCACTTAGCAAATGGTCACATAACAGACGATCCAGTCTCTACGATTATTTTACATGAGGCCACACCGTCAATCGCACGTTACAACTCTTAGCCCACGAAGTCTTTCAAATGGAAAATTCGTGATGAAACTCTTTGAATGTGACTGTTATTGATGGTCTTACTCTCTTTATCGTCTTCAGAACTCATAACGTTCCCAATTTCAGAATTCTTTCAACAGTCAATCACATTCAGCGGTTCAATATTCTGTGAATTCGCTTTGAGTCAAAATGTGATTAGCGAGAGTTTCCGATTGATCAATGCGTTGGGATGCGCCAACAAAAGTCATGTTGATTTGAAGGATTGCATGAAAAGACTGAGTGTTCACATGCTACTCGACGGTATGGACCGCGTGGTAAGTTTCGTTCATATGTTTGAGAAAATTTCCAATTCTGTGGTAAATATGGAGTATTTTAATGTAGAATGAAAAATTCGCTCGACAAATAGATCATTGGGTGGATCTCTTTCACAGATTCGCTGAAAGTTTTTGGTTGTTTTTGGTACCCTTTCACCGCTGGTTCACTCACACCAATTGTAGATAAATGCCTAAATGAATGAAGACATAATAATACACAGAGCGATTTCCAGTATCTGTTGTAATTTCCACCATTTAAATGATGTAAATGAATTTTATTTACGCATTTCCCGGAATTGTGCTGATTTCTTCGGACAGATAACTGGATTCTATTGGAATGAATGCGGTTAATGGTTCGATAACATGTTCAATCTTATAGGTGGTGCCCATTTCAGCATTACGACTCCCACGCCATACAGTTTCATCCAAAATTTGATACGCACTTCTTTGTGCGTCCTCGTGATCAACTTCTGCAAGTGGTATCACCTATGCGCAATATGATCGGTGTTCACGGTGCAAAATCTGCTATTTCCGGTGAGCTTTCTCCTCGCTTTCTATTTTAGTGTATCCTCATTTTTCAGGAGAACTCATGTTCTCGTACCTCTATCCATGAACTCTAATATTTCTGATAGTGAGAAAACATCCATATCCGAACCTTCGAAGGATCCTCAACAAAACTGATCTGTTGGATCAACCTAAACTATTGGAAGCATTTATAGTTCTGGTGAAACTTCTACATTGTCGGTGTTTCCTCCAAATGTGATCGAATGTTCTCATCAGTGAAGGACATTCGAATCGTTCCACATCTATAACTCGAACTTTTAGTGTTGTACGACGATGTGAGAACTCGCTTCAAGACCGTCTTGAGTGTATCACAACAAGCCACATTTTCGGTCAAAGACCTTCGCAACTATATCCGAAATGTGGTGGCAACTGAGGAGGTATTCGGTGAGAGGGCAAAACCATTCGAAAAACAACTGGTGCAATTTTATGTGGAACGTGCTGTACCTGAAAATGTTGATAAACACTTTTATCTACGTCGTTTCACTGAGGCACGCTTCCGTTTGAATACAAATGAAACGTTTTACTCTATTGTTCAGTCGCAAATAACCTTTAAAATATATACTCACTTGAATTCATTCGTTTTCTCAAGAGCGCTTTACAACTCAGTTTCGAGTAGCTCTTGTGTTATAGTTAGAAGGTCATTTTTGATCAATAAATGGATGATTTGTTCGATTCGAAACTGAATTGGTAGTATTCAAGAGCATTGGTGATGTTGAAATGATAACTCACTGATAAGTTGATGATGAATTTGATAACTAATCGCATTCTTTGATTATTCATTCAGATGATCAACGATATAACATATAACGTTGGCATTTTCTACGAACTGCAACTGAAGCAGTCGACTAACTGGACAACATTCCTGTTCACTCAAGATTATCATAATCCACAACTTTACACAAGACAAACACTGAGAGGTAATGTGTTGTACATTTGAATAGTTCCAGCGTTTTTGAAACCCAAAAACTTCCCTCTTTCAAGCTGAACAAGTGGCATTGGATGTGGGCGAGTTATTCAAGGACATATGCATGAATACTCTCAAGTGCGAGATTTTTGTTTGATGACATGAGCATTTTCAGTAGCTGAGGAATCATTTCGAATAGATTTCAGTTAGGATGCATCGTAAACATCCGTACAACATTTAAATTCCACTGATAAATTTACATCAGTTTCTTTAATTGGATAATAAATACAAGCCGGATCATAGCCTGGCTCAGGCTCATAACATTAATGATATTGGTACACCACTCGGTTTCGAGCAAAATTTTCCTCCGCGAACGACAATCGAACCCGCGATGTGGCTGTCAGTTTCTTTACACCACTGGATTCGCAAGCACTCAATAGAATTCTCATTCTTTTCAGATGCGTTATAGTCACTCTCGTAGTTGAATTCATCGAACAAGAACTCTTGCAGTCTTTTTCTCAATCGCTCTTTCCAATTTCGATCAATAGTCATACTGAAATTCTCATTCTGTTGCATATATTCTTTCATTGTTCGTTTCACTGTTGCTAACGTAACAGTCAACAATACATTGTGAACGAGATGAAAGCATTAATAACTGAAGCAAGCTTTCACTACAGGAGGTTATCAATGCAATGAATGCCCGTATTTGTATGGAATTGGCCCAGTTGAATTCGAATACAATCATAAAGATGTACTCTTCAAACAATACCTTCTTTCGTCTATACGGCACTTCATAAAGACCGGGTGAGCGATCCTTAAAATAAACCTGTTAAGAATTCTTCTTACCTCCTAGAATTCCTCTAAAATTCTGGAATTCTACGAATAAACCTCTTATCTCATAGAATACAACCTAAATTCTCGATTCAACACCATGAAAATATGTATTGTAGTAGCATTATTTTAGGTCTCCCACAATCAGTGATTCAGATTGGCTTCCAACCGACACAGAGCACCCGTTTCGACACCTCAGAATGACTTCTAAACCAAAGATGCGCGAGCATCTGAAGCCCCAGAATACACATTTCTGGAGGAATGTAAGTTTTTGCAGATTCACAACATTTCCGATGGATTTCAAATGAGATTTCAATACTGTATTATATAGTCTTTCATTGTTCAAATAACAATTCTGTATGTTACGTGAAAGACTACCAACCAGTTTAATGACTATCAACTAGCTAATCAAATACCTCTGTCTCACGTACTGAAGCATTTTCATTTGAGTTAGCTTTCAATTTCTAGGTGGTTACCAAAGAAATACGACGACGACTGTTTGGAAGTATACGCTATCAGGTGAAGAGCTCAGCTAATATCCATAAGGAATTGTGATACCTAATTCTGAAACTTATCGCGGAAATTCTCAAACCTTTCAGTCCACTGCAGCTTTTGATGTTTTCTGAAACATTCCATTACCATTAATGTGATCCGTGTCAAGTATTTATTAATTTCTTACAGCTTGACGACATTTTAATTGTACATTTCAATTGCAAATGATCAATAGAATAAAATCATGTAAGCTTTTCCGCGTCATAAATACAAATCCTCAAGTAACCAGAGGATACAGAGTATAAAGCCTTCAATTGAACCAGTTACTGTATGATCACATAGTTATCTGAGACATCTGGTCAACGAGCACATCACTGTAAAGGCGATTAATACCATTGTTGCGATAAATGCGGCCACCGAATAACCAACAATACGTATGAGTCGTTTTCGCTGAAAACCATCATCTCATGAAAACTCTGTCATTTGATCAAAAAACCTGATTGAGTGTTCCAAACAACGTTCTCAGACCACAA